TAGTTTAATTTTCTTGTTAGAAAAAATGTTTATTTTTTATATTAATGATATTAATAAATAACAATAAATCTAAATCTTGATCTTTTTAAATTTCATTCAAAAAAATTAAAATAAACCTTATAAAATTTAAAATAATAATAATTAAGTGATAATAAAAATAATAATAGGAATGAAAAATGATTTCAAAATTTTTAATTTTTTTAAAATAATAATAAAAATAAAATAATAATAATAAAGTAAAATAATAACAAAAAAAATGCTAAAAAACCATAATCTAAAAAAGTGATAATGAAAATAAAATGATAAAAAAAATTTTCTGCTTAGATAAAGGAGAGAATTCTTTTAAAAATAATTTCGTCAAGATGTTGGAGAATTGTAAATATATATATAAAGATAATAAATAATAAAACAATAATAAAAATAAATAGATATTATTATTAATATATTTTTTTAAATTAAAAAAATTGAACTTGCTTCAAAAATTCACCTAGATGTTAGAGATTTTTAAAAATGTTCGCATTTTTTTCAAATCTTAAAACCCTCAAAACCTTAAAACTAAAACTTTGAACCTTTTAAACACTAAAATCGAAACCTTAAACCTAAAACCCTAAAATCAAAACCCTAAATCCTCTAAACATTAAACTAAACCCTAAATCCTTTAAACCCTAAAATCAAAATGCTAAATCCTAAAGCTTAAAATTAAACCTTAAATCATCCAAACCTTAAAACTAAAACCCTAAATCTCAAACCCTAAAATTGAAACCTTAAACCATCCAAACCATAAAACTAAAACCCCAAACCCTTTGAAATCCTAAAATCCTTAAAACCCTTGAAACCTTAAAATTTCTAAACGCTAAACCTCTAAATCCTAAATCCTCGAAATCCTAAAATCTTTCAAACCCTAAAATCCAAGTCCTATAATCTTTTAAACCATAAACCAAACCTTCAAACCTTTAAAACTCAAACCAAAACCCTAAAATCCAAAACTCAAAACTTTATTTTTTAAAACTTAAAACCTCAAACCCTAAATTTGGCATGTAATTTCAAATCATTACCTAAAAAATCATTATCAAACCTTAAAGCCTCGACCCAAGCTCATGCTCAAAATCATTCCAAAACTCTAAGGATATGTGTAAAAATCATGTTCTCGAATGCTGCCAAATGATGGGGTATTTAAAAAACTTTATTTCATTAAATTTTTCACATAAGTCCTTAATTTGCATTAATAATGGGATTGAAACAAAAAATATATGTATAGAACAGGATTTAAAATATAAATAATCATACTTAAGCTTTGCTTAGATATTAAATAGTTAAAATGGTCTCATTATATTTAAGAATCCAATTTTAAATTGCATTTCATCATCTTGCATAACATCCATTAGCATACATACATCATCATGTTATTTTTAGCACTCTTTTTGCATTTCTCTATCTTTAATTTTTATTTGCTACTTGATAATACCATAATTTACTTTCTCATATAAAATGTTTTACGAAAAAAAAAAGAAATACATATTTTAAAATTGTGATATTATAAAATAAAATAAAAATAACATCCGAAAAAAATAATTCTTGGTACTCTACCTAGTTGTTAGAGAGTTACTAACAATTATCCTTTCCAAAGAGTGTTATTTTTATTTTTAAAAATATTATATTAAATCTCAAGCAAAAAAAATTACTTTAAATTTTGACTAGATGTTAAAAAATTTTAAGATAATTCTTTAACTTAAAGATTTCTTCAATATTCCTAAACAAAGAGTTTTAGCAAAAATTTATTTTTTCAAATGAAGAGAGTTAGTATTAAATTTTAAATCAAAGCCATTTCATCCAATACCGAAATAACGCATGATTAATTAGTACAAATTTATAGGCGTTGTGAGGGTGCTAATTTTTTTTCAAAAATAATCAACTCTTGAGCCCAACTTGAATTTTTGTAGACTGAAATTTATCTTTTTGATAAACTTTAAACCTATTTTTATAGTTTTATTAAAAAGATAAAACTTTTTGATGACCAATCATACTCTAAAAAAGATTAGTGATAATTCCTCTCGTTTTTCTCGATTTTAAAATTCTTTTCGTCTAGTGATCGCAAAATTATTATGACAACAATACATTGCTTAACCACACATTGCTAAGACACTTGAAGATTTTTCTAATGATAATCTTTTCAAAAAGTAAGTGCAATAATTCTTCAGTGTAGTCAACTACATAAATGAATTTTTCCCAGATCTCATTCAAATTACTCACTCTCTCAAACAGATGTTGAAAAAATAACCACCTAAGTGGTCACAAAAGCAAACAAAGTCAGTATATATGCTAAAGATAAAATCACAATTACTTCTAACTTTAAAGATTCCCTCATATGGCAAAAGGATATTACAAATAGATATAAGCGATAAATTTTCGTCAACAATCTTTATCAAAGAAAAAAAATAAAACTAGACAGATATATGGTTACAAAAGCAACAAATTCAAAATTTTGAAAATCCATTATCACTCTATGCTAAAAAAAAATTTTAGCAGTGAAATATGAAATCCAAAAATTTGAATTTCACCTTATTGGATATCACTTTCTCGTGGAACTAGATATGTCAACCTTTGACTAGATGTTTAATTTCAAGAAAAAGCAAACACCAAATGCACAATTGCTCAAACTCTCATTGGTTTTCAAAGTACTCATTTACCATAGTGCATATAAAAGGAAATGATAATGTTCTCTCAAATATGTTATCCAAACCTCTTCTCAGACCTCCTTCGAGTTCTTTGAAGATTATTCCAGTAATCTTCATGATGAATTCTTCACATTCACTTTCTTCCTCCCAAACCTTATCCTTGAGAAACCCTATCCTTTATCCTCTTTCAAAACTTTACCTTGATAATAAGCTTACTCTTTATGACAACCTTCAAACCTATGTTTTCAGCACATGTTCTTTTTTAAAAAATTCAACAAATGATTGCCTAAAAGACTCTTAACATCCGTGCTAAAGATCTCATATACAAGTATCAAGCTATACTTGTCCACAAAAAAAGAGACCATGAACTCAAACCCATTTGGAATACACCCAAAATATCATTTTCTTCATTTCTTTCAAATACCTCACACAGCCAGACTATTCAAAAAAATCTTGATTCTTTTATGGTATCTATGTCAACTTTACACCATTGCCATTGAGTTTAGCTTATCAAGCCTTACTTGGGCTACGGTTGTCCTAATTAATACATAATACCTAGATCTTGAGGACATTGCACTTGAAAAATTATTATGGTGGTTCAACACACTAAACAACTGGTTTAACTTCACCACAAGTCTTCCACAAAACTATCATATCATCTTTATGCTTTACAGGGCCTGTCAGATTCATCAAGATAGTTCAGTTAGTTTTCAAAAAATACTTAAATATCCACGTATGCAATCCATATTCCTTATACAAATCTATATTCTTATATTTTGATGAATATAAACTTCTCCTCAAAAGGCTCTATAAAATAAACCACATCCCAATTCTTGAATAACTCCCTCCTTTTAAAAAAGAACCATGGTGGTGATACCTCGAGAATACATCAAAAAATTACACTCTTATCTTGACAAATGGACTTCTAAAAATCTTTTTAATACCTGGTTGAGTGATTTATCCTGAAGACCAGTAAACTTTGTATCCTTAACCCTGCAAACTTAGCTCAACTCCCAAGAAATCCTTATTGGCATAACCCAAGAGATATTCAAAAAATCAAAAAAAGATTTGAACATAAAATGTACAGCCAACTATTCCAAAACTATGATCGAGACCCAACAAACTTGAAAAAAAAAATTATGTCAATGGGTAGACAACTGTTTATCCATCCAGTACCATGAAGATTTTCTAGAATTATGTTGATCTAGTCAAAAATTCAATCATGGTGATGAAGTCAAAAGAAATCCCTTATTCCAATCTAATTATGTATAATTATTTGTGATGTTGTTAAAAATGTTTTCTAAGACTCATCTAGAGACTCTAAAAAATGATGATGGCACATCAAGTTTTGCTTTTGTCTATATCAACTTTAAGTCATTTTCGAGTCAAATCTATTTTTTTAAAGTTACTTTGATAAAACAAAAAGAATCTTACATTTACTTTATTAAAGTTGCTTTAAGTCTAGTCGATTGTTTTATGTTTACTCATGGACTCAATGTCATTATTATAGGTTATATTTGATTCCTATTTACTTACTTTTTCATTGCACAAATTTGTAACTCCTTCCTCAATAAGGCAAAATCACCTAACTTCTCCAAAAAGTCACTTAGAAAATTTTCTTTATAAAATATGTTTAGCTAAAACTTCTCTTCTTTTGGTACTTCATTCTTCCTTCTTCAATTGTTAAGTTTAGAATTAGAAAGAATTTTCGATATATGGTTTACAGTAATATAAGTTAAGTATACTCTACAGTTACCACAATATTATAGATCCACTACATCAAAAACCTTATAAAATTATCAAACAAACTATTAATCCACCTAACAAAAAAAAGTTACTGTACCAAGAAATATTGAAATAGGCTATCATACTGAAAAACATGTCTCCATAAAAGTTAAGCCACCAATTCGACATTATGCTACGAGGACGTCAAATCGTGAACATCGACTAAAATACTTTGTTTACATGTCTGAATTATAAACTACTTATATTTGATATTATCTTAATGCGGACAACCGATCCTCGTTATCTTACTTCTTTTATTATATTTTTTGTCATTTCATTATTTTCCACCAACTTCGCTTTCTTTTCAAAGTTTTCAAAATAATGACATCCACCAACTCCTCTAACTTTTCAAACACCAACTATTTCTTTCTTTTCAAATGAAATAATAGCCTCCATAGGCTCCACCAACTTTTTTCTTTTATTTTCAAACAAAAGTTTTTCATACAAAAAATAAGCTTAAAAGAATAAAATAAAAGGAAAAAAAAATGGGTGCTACAATCCAATGAGTTTTTTCTTACAAAAATTTAAGGTATGAATGAATATTTTAAAAAAAAATAAATATAAAACCTATTTTACTTTTTTTTTTCTTCATGCATTGATCAGATTTTCATAGAGACTTAAAAATTTAACAACTGAAAGAAAAAACTACAACTCTTCTTGCTCTCTTGCCCCGTTCCAAAAGGCAACCATGGTTATTTGTTCATTTCGTATGACAGGGCGCTCCTATTCATGAATCTTGTCTAAGTAATACAACAATATCTCGCATGTTGGGTTAGAAGAATCAGTTGTCACATTTTTTAATCTAACGTTGATTAATATTTGTAGAAGGTGGCAAGAAATTTTGAGATGTTTTGAAAGTATTCATATTAAAAAAGAAAGAAAAAAAAAACCCAGGCAAGCAAATGGAAGCCATGCTCGACGTCTGTATCATAAAAAAATCTCAAAATGGATCTGGTATACGACGTCGATTCTGTCGAAAACCATCTTCAAGTGGTCGAATCTAGCAAAGTCTTAAAAAGAGAAAAGCATATATAATACTTTTTGGAAAAAAAAAAAAATCAAATCTAGCATTAGTATCATGATATCAAATATGGCAGACCAAGAAAACTTTCAAATGAAAAAGTTAAAAAGTCTAACCTTTAAAAAAAAAGATAAGTTGCAGTGGCTTTGACATTGTATGGCCTGAGATAGCCTGAACAATTTAGATTGCATCATCGCTTCCCCTTTTCTCCCCATTTTCATCCTGTCACCACTTTTTTCAAACTTTCTCTTTGCTCTGCCCTGAAGCATCAAACTTTTTTTTTAAAACTCAATTAAAAAAAAAAAGACTCAATTGAAAAAGATATCTTACTTGAGATTTGGTTTTTAGAAAGGGTGGGAGAATTTAGAGTGAGAGCGAAAATGTATAACTGAGAGATTAAAACTGCCCTAAAAAAATCAACAATTCAAAACAAAGTAACAAAAAATTGAAGGAAAAATGTTTGATTTACCCCTTGGCGCTTGTAGAACTTTAATTCTTCAATTAACTTCCCCAACTCGTCTTCCAATTGATGAACTCCAATCTCAGATTCCTTTGCCCTCTCATCAACCTCATTCCCATAATCCATCAACGCTTCCCTATCATGATTATAAAGCAAACACTCCCTTTCCCATTTATTACACTGAGTCAACAAATTCGCACATTCCGTTGCAAGATTCTGATTCTCCTCCAAGAATCTCTTCATCGCCACCGCATTCATATTCGCTTCCGCCTTCAAAAAAATCAATAAAAATGTCAATAACTTGACATTTTGAATATAAATACATTCAAAATATTACTTTTTTCATTTGCGAGTTGGCCGACCTTGCGTCGCTCAATAATTTGATCTTTCTCTTTCAATTTCCAGAGGGGGGGTGGGTACAGGCATTGGTCACGGAGGCGACGCTGGGCTTCTTCGGAGTAACAGAGTTTCAATTGCAAAGACTGGGTGGAGATTTGAAGACCTAAGGAATTTTCTATTGTTTGTTTTATGTCGTCGATCTCTTGAGGAATATCCATGTTTTCAATCCCTCAAAATTTTTATTCTTGAAGAATCCTAAATCTTTATGAAAATTTGAAAACAAAAGATTTTTTAAGAAAACTATAGAATGAAAAGAAAAAAAAAGTGACATTAGAAATAATTAGGGATTGGAGCTAAGTTTTTGGGAACGGAGGACACAAAGGAGAGGAATTTTGGGGTTTGGATAGGAAGAAAAAAGAGTAGAAAGAGGAGAGAAAATGACAGGTGAACTGTGAAAAATAAAAATAAATTCTTAACATGTAAAAGTGAAGAATAACAAAAGAAAGACAAAATAATTTTTTTTTAAAAGTAGACCGCCTCATAGCTGCCCCGCCGATCACAATCTCAATCAATCAATTCGTACGTCTCATTTATTACTTTTAATAATTATTTTATTATTTAAATTTATTGTTTTAATTATTAAAATAATATAAAAAATAAAAAAAATTATATATCTAATTTAAAAAATATTATTTTTAAAAATGTTTTAATTAAAGATTATATTTTTACATACACAAATATAATTTTTTGTAAATTTTTTTTAATTAAAAGTTATGTTTTTACTAAAAAAATATAGTATTTGTAATTTTTTCAATAAAGACTTTTTATTTGATAGAGAAGAGTTATGAAAGTAATATCATGTTTAAAATAAGACCTAACAAATATATATAGGTGGGAGTTAATTTTGGTTTTACAAAAACCACTTTTAACATAAAAAATATAGTTAAAAATATAGAAAGATTGGTTGAATAGACCAAAACAAATTAACTTAAAAAGGAAAAAGCTAAAAAAAAAAACTAACTTGGATAGGTTGAAAGCTTAGCAATTTTTTTAAAATTAATAATATAAATTTTAAAAATTAATTCTTAAATGATCAATTATCTTTTAAATTTTTATCATAATTATAGATATCATATTTTATTCAAAGATTTTTTTTAAATTCATTGAGTTTCGAATATTGAATCCTAATTTAAAAGTTTTGGACCCAAGAATTAAAATTCCAAAAATCTTAGTTTTAATTTTAATTTTGATTTTAATTTGATTTTATTTAATTGGTTAAAGTAAAAAAAAAAAAAGAAAAAAACATGTGATTTGTTTTGGCAGTTTGCTTTTGAATTTGATTATGCTAGATTCAATCTTAGATTCAGTAATTTATTGCTTAATTAATTGTGGAAAGCTTGAGGCTTAATTCATGCAAAGAAAAATTACACAAAATCAAATCATTGAGATTTTTCTTAGGTCTAGTGGAATTAAAATTTTTTGATTGAATTAGGATTTGATCCATATAAAAAGATCTTGAATCAAGATTAAATAAGGGGCTTGACAAAAATTCACTTTAAGATCAAACATAGGTCATTGAAAAAAGAAAAAATTTGGGCAAAATTTTGAATCAACAAGGAATAAACAATCAAGCAAAAATTTGCAAGAAGATTTAGTTGGAGTTTTTGAAAGAAAGGTTAATATTTATAATAGGAAGCATCGGTTTTTAAAAGGTAAAAAATTGTTGAAACTTGTAATCCATTGAGGTAATATTTGCTTTCATATTTTTTTTTATGATTTTTGCATATTCTTTACTCTTATTTTTATATTTATTGCATGGTATTTATTTTTGCATGAATTTGCATTACTAATATTATATTTGTATGATTATATATTTAATTGCATATTTATTTGCATGATTAATACATTGGTATTTGCATAATTAGATATTTAATTGCATATTATTTGCATGGTTTATATATTGTTATTTACATGATTATATATTTAATTGCATATTTATTTGCATGGTTTTATATATTTATTTGCATGATTTATGTATTATTATTTGTATCATTATATATTTAATTTTATGTTTATTTGCATGATTTGTATATTACTATTTGCATAATTATATAATTAATTGCATATTTATTTGCACGGTTTATATATTTTTTATTTGCATAATTATATATTTAATTGTATGTTTATTTGCATGATTTACATTGTTAATTGCATGATTATATATTTAATTGCACATCTATTTGCTTGATTATTAATTTATTTATTTCTGTGATTGAATGATTATTAATATATTTATTTGTATGGTTATTCATTTATTATTATTATTGCATGATTTTATATTTATTGCATGATATGATATTATATGTTATTGCATGATTAATATTATATTTGAATAATATTTAATTGCATGTTCTATATGCATCGTATGCATAATTGCATGATTATATTTAACTACATAATATATTTGTGTATTATATTTGATTTCATGATTATATATTTACATGAATGGTTATTAATACATTTGCATGGTATTTTATATTATTACATGATATTATATATTTACATTATTATTATTGCATGATAATTAATATATTTGCATAACATTCTTGCATAAATATTTTAGCATGATCTAGGTGTGATATTATTACATGATGTTTGGTATGATTTATAATATAGTGATAATTTTTATATGGTATGATTTTTAATATTTATTGTATGATTGCATTGTTACTTGATATTTTTTATAGAATTTTTATATCACCATGTTTTGTAAATAAATAAAAGGATTATAATTGATTTATTTGCATGACAAAATATCTTTGAGAATGCTTAAATTTGATAACATATAATTAATTTGGTACCAATTTTAGGTGTAAAAGAGTGTTATACCTTTCATGTATGTAATCGATTCTCGAACCTTAGTTCTAATGATGTAGACTAGAACTTATTTTTTTAGGGACCCTTAATTTATACTCAAGATAACCTTAAAAAGGATAGATTCATATAAGTGGCCAATCACACTTAGGTAAAAAAGAATGGTGGTAACTCCATGATTTTTTTAAACTAATGAATAGGTTCTCCCAACTTAGATGTTATGATAGTTTGGCGATGCCACTGGAATATTAAAAAGTTAAGCTATTAGTTAGTTATGTGTTATCATAAGCCTTGCTTTAATAGTTTTATTATGTAATTATTTGTGATTGTTATATTACTAACCTATTTGTTTTTGTTTTGTTGTTTTGCATATTTTAATTTTTTATGTGCATTAATTTATTTTCTTATTTGACATGTCCCTTTACACACACTGCTTTTGCATTCATGCATAAGCTCTAGACCTAAGCTTTGTCTTTTATTAGGAGGAAGCAAGTAAATATACTTTCGTGAGGTAATAATCTCTGTATGAGCTAGCGAAAACTCTCATTCAAATTGAACAATTTTTATTTGAGCCTAAAATGATAAGTGAGGATTAAGGTACCTTACTAGTCTATAATAGATGATGATGTAGGGAACTATTTAGGAGCTTTTAGATTGTTAAGCCCTTAAACCTAGCTTGTACATGAATTCCATAGACCCAAACCTAAGTTAAAGTGCTACCTTCATTTTTGTTAGAAAAACCTAAAAATGACACATGATGGAACAAATATTATTATTCTTGTAAATTTATTATTCCTTTTGTATATTATTTCCATACTAACCCTTTATATTATTCCTTGTATATATTATGTTTTTCCTTGTATATATTATGTTACTAACTCTTTTTTTCTCTATTTTATTGTGTATGTATGCATCATTGATTTATCATAAGAAGTGATTACCACAAGACAATCTTAATGAAAAGAATTTTAATTACATATATGGAGAGCCTAGCAAAATCTTTTATTGGCCTGCAAAGAAAGTTTGAAGATTTGAAGCTTGTAAACAAAAAGCTTAAAATGGAAGTTCAAGCACTCAAATCAAAAAAGAATGAAAGGAAAAATCTGCTCATTGACGTTAACATCACATAATTATCAACCACTCATGAGTTAGCCTAACTTTTGAAAGAAAATGGACAATTACAAATAAAGATACAAAAAAAGAGGAAGCACTCATCGAAACAAAAAAACACATCCAAATGCTCAATAAGGTAATGGTCAAAATTGGAATACAAATAGATGTAGTGAATGAAAAATGTAAGCAAGCAAATGAGGCATATGTAAGAAAGTATAATCAGTTGAAGTACCTGCTTGATCAAATTACCATAGCTACTTATAAAGCTAAGAACATTATAGAAAATTGAATAATGGAAGACAAAGATGCCATCAGTGGGAGCACATGGCCAAGAACTACTAGATTTCCTTAATGAAGTGCAAGGCCAATATCAATAAATTAGAGATTATTTTTCACAATAAACTTTAGACTTTTCAAGAATATAATATTGGATTTGGTTAGAAATAACTTTCAATTCAATAAAGATTTTTTTTGTTAACAATTATTATGTGGTAAATCCTCTTTATTACATTAATGCATTCATGCATTCATACATAAACATCTATCTAAAGTGTATGATAATAAGTTATTCTAATTCTTAAAAATTATGAAAAATCAAAGTTCAAGGATAGCTTCATCTTTAAACAATCTGAGGTATTACAACATTAGATATCAAATAAGGATCATAGAAGAAAAAAACACTCTTCACCTCTAAAAGCTAGAAAAAATATAAAAAAAACTAAAAAAGGTAGTTGTAAACTATTATTGAGTTACTAAAAAACATGAACAAGAGAAAAGAAGTGGTGAAAGATGTGGTGATACAAAATAAGATTGATCCATTATATCCTTGTAGTTTTAGCACATATTCAACACACGCATCTTAAGGGGCCTAACACCAAGTGCCATTCATTACAAACTATCCTATGTACAGATTGACATGCTAACAATTGCTACTCTTACTCCCATTACCCTTATTATTGATCAAAACATCTGATCATATACAAGTTATAAATCTTGATGATCCCAAAAAGCAAGAAAGGTTGAAGATTAGTCCTGTTGAAACTAAAAAAAGCTTTGAAACTCAAAATATGGATATTTATTAAAAAAAAAGCTTAGAGCTATCAAAAGGATAGATTTTTATAGGTCAATAGATGCTGCTAAACTCTTTCTAGTCCCTAATGTGGTGATTCCACCAAAGTTTAAAGTGCCTAAGTTTGAAGAGTGTGATGGGACCAAATACCTTATTACACATGTTATGATGTATTGTCACAATATGGCTGCAAACACTCATAATAAGAAGTTGCTCATCCATATTTTTTAAGACAGTCTTACTAGTTTAACTGTTAAGTGACATATGTAACTAGATAGATCTCGTGTTCATGAATGGAGAGAACTTGCAAGGGCTTTCGTTAAATAATATAAACATATTATAGACATGGCACCAGATCGTATGTCTATCCAAAATATGAAAAAAAAGATAAATAAAAGTTTAAAAGATATACTCA